TAAACCTGTAGTAAGAACTGTAAAGAAATGGACTGTTGAAGCAGAGCGGGATTTACAAGCCTGCTTCGACCTCACTGATTGGAGTGTTTTTGAGGCTGCAGCTACTGATCTGGATGAGCTCACTGGCACCGTGACATCCTACATTAGTTTCTGTGAGGACATGTGTGTTCCCACCAGGACTTATTTAACATTTAACAATGACAAACCTTGGTTCACTGCAAAACTCAAACAGCTTCGCCAAGCCAAAGAGGACGCCTACAGGAGTGGGGACAAAGCCTTGTACAAACAGGCCAAATATAAACTGAATAGGGAGATAAGAGTGGCAAAGTTAAACTACTCTGAAAAGCTAAAAAACAGCTTTCAAGTAATGAGTCTACATCAGTGTGGAATGGCCTGAAAGCCATCACCAGCTACTAGACCCCATCCCCCAGCACTGAGGCTAATCAACAACTGGCTGAAGAACTGAACGAGTTTTACTGCAGGTTTGAAAAGCAAAAGCCTGGTCTGACACCCCACACCCACTCCGACCGTCTCACAGCACAGCCATCAACACCCTCCCCCTCCATCCAACCTACTGTTTCTCATCCTGCACTCAAGATCTGTGAAGAGGATGTATGCAAAGTCTTCAGAAAGCAGAAGATAAGGAAAGCCAAAGGCCCAGACGGTGTCTCTCCAGCCTGCCTCAAAGCCTGTGCTGTCCACACAGTAAAATCCCGAGTGTTAAATGAACACTGCTCGGAGCATATATGGTCCCACTCTAAAAGAGTGTTAAAGTAACACTGAAGCAGTGTTAAAGTTAATGAGATAATTATGTGATTAATTAAGTGCCGATTGAGCATTAGTGATGAACAGCTGCTGTTAACAAGCAGAATCACTGAAGAAAAGAGAAACAAGAATTACAACTGACTTCAGCCACAGCCTTAGATGAAATCAACTGAAATAAAAGACATTAAATCTCTCAAGATCTCAGCAGAAGATGATTAATCATCTCCACAAACAGCATCACCAGCTTCACA